AAATTGAAAGATAAAAAGTAACTTCCTAAAGCAGGTGCGGTGGTACATGGCTATAATCCGGCCCTCAGGAAGCCAATGATCACACCATGAGTCTGAGGTCAAACAAGGCTACACGGCAGGTTAAGGGCAGCCTGGATAGACAGCAAAATCCTGACTCAAGAACAAAGTGGGATCTTCTACTGGTAATAGGCAAATGCAGGGAATTTTCCAGGCACCCAAGTACACTAAAACAGAGATAAACATACTGAGGTGTATTCAAACAATAATACAATCAGCAGACAATGACCACTTTAGGTTTTGACAGTCATCCAGTCTGTTTTAAGTACTTAATTCTGCCCTTGAAGGGCAAAAACTAAACAATTTATTTCATTCATATCTGAATTTCACATCATTTTATGAGTCACAAAATTTTTTAAACATTTAAAAATATAGAAAAGTACCTCACTCACACTATCTTTGACTTTAAGGGATTTAAAAAGATAATTAGAGATGGAGAGGAGAGGCCGGCAAAATGGCTCACAGGGTAAAGGAACTTGGAACCAAGCCATGGGACCCAGGACCCATATGGTAGGACAGAACTGACTCCCACAAGCTGTCTTCTGACTTCTGAACACCACACACACACACACACACACACACACACACACACACACACCACAGAGACACAAATAATAAGTAAATGTAATTTTTTTTTCAAATGAGGGCTGGAGAGATGGTTCAGAGGTTAAGAGCACTGACTGCTCTTGCAGAAGATCTAGGTTCAAATCAAAGCACCCACATGGTGGCAACAACTGTCCATAATTCCAGTTCCAGGGGATTTGACACCCTCTTCTGACCTCTGTGGGCACTATAGGACATGGGTACTCATACATACATGCAGGATTCAAATCCAGGTTCTCAGCAAGAGCAATCAGTTCTCTTAACTGCTGAGCCATCTCTCCAGTCCTATATCAACATTTCTGTGTTTTTAAAACAAAAGAATTAGTGGAAACAAATCTTATCAAAAATTAATA